CAGCTCCTTCTTCTGGTATGGATCAAGTTGGAGCGTGTCGTGGCGGAGAAAATCAAATTTTAGGAGTAGAGTGACGAAAGGCCAGAGTCGCAAGTCGGAAGAGTATCAAGCAGAAAGCTGAAAGTTGCGAGTTGCGTGCGTCATGAGTCGAGAGTTGAGAGTTGCGAGGCGAACATCGTAGAGTTTTGACCTGAGTTGTGCGGGATTCGGGAGACGAGAAGTGACAGCGTAAGTCAAGAGTTGAGAGTCGTGAATCGCGAGTCGAAAGTCGCGAGGCGAAAACTGAGTCGAGAGAACTGCGAGTTGAGAGCCGGGAATCGAGTGTTGAGTTGTGAGTCGAGAATCGTTACAAATACAAACGAACACACAAACAAACAAACAAACAAGCAAGCAAACAAGCAAACAAACAAACAAACAATCTAATACATTCAAATTCTTGTGTTCAGCCCTTCTTCCTCTTCTCGAGTTTCCTCTGGTAGAAGGCCAGTTCCTCACCCTCCAGCACATAGCCATCTGGACGGCCGCTCTGGCCCGGGCGGGACGAGATGAGGGCCGTCAAGCAGCCACTCTGGAATTGTACCTCCACGGCGGTGTCCAATTTCTGCTTGGCAGCTCGAGCTTTCTTGGCCATCTCATTCTTTTCTTCCTTTTCTTCCTTTTCTTCCTTTTCTTCCTTTTCTTCCTTTTCTTCCTTCTGTTCCTTCTCTTCCTTCACTTCCTTCTCCTTCTTCTCCTCCTTCCTCTTCTGCTCCTTCTAGGCGCCCTTCTTCTCCACATCCACGCCACAAATCTGTCCAACTTCGTGTTGAAAATGGCTGGCCAACAACTTCCAATGCTTCGCCAAATCCTGCCCAGGCGCGGGGCCTGACACGCCGCCATCGCCTGCCTCCAGGATGATCCAACCTGCCCAACGGGCATGCTGCAACCTCCTGCTACTGTTCTAACTGTGTCAGATTGGCATCCCATTGCATTGCAATAGCCCAAAGAGGCCCAACCTGTGCCCTTAAAACATTCAAAGCAAAAAAGCAACAAACACCAAACAAAAAAAGCTGCCCTTTCACCTTCGAAGCCTCCCAAACGCTTTGCTGTGTTGAGCTGGAGCGAAGCGCGCGTATAGTAAAACAATTAGTACACGTTCTACCCCCATGCTTGCTGGGTTTGGAGTTGTTGAGCTTAGAGCGCTCTTCTGAGTGCATGATGCTTCTCGCGAGCGCGAGGGCGCTTCTTAACCAACACTGAGGTGTCAAAGTTGGACCTTGCGACTCGGCGTGTGTCTCCTTTGGGGGGCGCGCATCACATCTCAGCTGGGCACAGAACAGGCGCAACTCTATGCTCGAGTTCGCTGGCTCGATTCCAGCGTTGGTACCTGGCCCTTCACCCGTCCGCATCGCCAGCATCACCTGCTAAAAAGCTGTCTTCTTCCAGTCGCGTAAAGCAGCCCAGACCCCGCTCCTCAACCGGAGGCCAGGGCTACTACAATTAGTTGCACCTACGCTCTCAGACAACCAAAGCTTCCTGCCTGAGCTTGCTTCGGCAACATCAATGGTGATGTATGGGTTGTCGATGGACCGAGCCATTCCAGACACCTGCGCGCTTTCCAAGGGCGCTTTGGTCTCTCTCCAAGGTGACAATGAACAAAAACAAGGTATGGCCGAGAGACAGGCTGGATCCCGGCATTCGATCCAGGGAATTGAACAAACAAAACGGTTGGCGCCAGCGTGCTCAAGCCGCAACAGTTTGATTGGGCACAAAATTCTTTGCGGCTCACTTCGAAGAACCAATCGACCGTCGGGACTAACACCACACATCACCACCACAAAAAAAGAGCACGGCGACCAAAACATGTGTCAACAAGAAGAACTCGGTCAAAAGCTCCGGGCTTTCTTCTTGACTCGCCCACCTTGTCCGACAATTTGACTCGGTCCATAGCCCCAACTTGCGAACCTGCGAACGCTGCTGGCCTGCTCTAAGACCTGCTTCGGAGGTGGCTCGGCGCCCTCCTGTCCAGCGGCAGGTTAGAGGGTTTCAGTCGCATTCGTGGTGTAAGGGGCTGGCAATGCTGCGGTGGACAGGTAGGCTTTCCCCTTTTCGTTCACAGCCAAGTGTGGGTCTGGCTCAAATTTTCGGAACTGACAGGCCACTGGCTTGGACGCACTTCTGCTTTGTTGAACTCGCTCAGTCTCTGCGATTTGTGCTGCTCAGGCACTGCGGATGTAAGCGTTGAATCTGAAAACTCTTCTGCGCTGGTGATTTCACTTGCAGAAGGTGTTGGGCCTACAGCTTCCGGATTACAGCACCATTCATAGCCTGGAGGATGCTCGCAGAACATAAATGCATCACAACCATTCCCCCTCTATCTATTCTCCTTCTGTTTTGGATGAAGATGAGTGAGGCACGAGAAAGAGATACTTAGGAAAAGAACAATTGGCTCTCACCGTTCCCTCTCCACCTCCCCCAAGCTTCCAAGCGATTTCCTATGATTTCCTGGAAGGAGTTGGCGGTGACCTCCATCAAGTTGCCCCCCAGGAACCAGAGCCGCCACTCCTTGGCGGCGAGGTGTCGCGGAGCCAAACGGCCCACTGGATCTGGCCCAAGATGCATGGCGTGCAGAAAGCAAAGCTGAGCTTCGTTGGTGCTTGCCTCACCGCGACCCGGATATCTTACCAGATCCACATATTCCTTGAAGACCACGCCTTGCGGGCAAAAAAACAAACTATAGAGCGCGAAGAGCGAATCGCAAGCGAACGGACAGACTCAGACTGCCTGAAGTTCGCAAGTCTTACGCAGACAAGCTCCACCAGCCGAGGCCGGGCCTTCGTTGAATCGCGCACCCCGCGCTGCAACGAAGTCGCATGCAGCATCCTCGAGGTCCTCCATGGGGACCTGCATGAAACCTGGGCGTACCGCGCCGAAAGTCAAATTAAAGCTTCTAGGGAAAGGGCAACAGCCAGTACACCCAGTGAACATCCCAATCCCCACCAAAATAGACTAAAATGGTTGATTCCTTTTCCATCCTTTTCCACCATCGTTCTTCTCGAAAACCGGCCGTTTTCCCCGGGTTTCTGGAGGTTTTCTAGAAAGAAGGATGCCTGGACAAATGGGGGAGGTACCCCTAGAGAGCTAGTGAGTTTCCTATGAAGCTAGTGAGTCCCCTAGTTTTTGTGGGAACTTGAGTGAGTGCCCCATGTCGTTTGCAAATTAGATTTGCCAATAAGTTTGATCGAACCTCATATTAACGTACGACGTACGAGTCACCGCGCAAAACTCTTCACATTTCTAGGGCCGCAAAGGCGTTGGCGGAAAGCGAAGTGCCTGACAAAGGACCCGTGAGCTCAATCGATCGTTGCTGTTGGCGCGGTCCAACAAAACAGATTCAATCAGCCTTGTCACTTTACGTGCCAAAGAGGTTTTTCTCAATCTGAGGGCGCTGATGGGCTGTTTTTGTTCTTCCGAGATCTGGTGGTCAATCCAGCACCGCAGCCTGGCTCGAAAGATAAATGAGTGAGATATTGGCCAACATTTGCTTTGCTCAAGTAACCACACATCTGACTCCGGTGTTTCAGCTGGACCAGCCAGTCGACTCTCCAAACTTCAAACTTGGGCTTGTGCAGGGCAGCGCGGAAGGGCAAAGGGTGCCATGTGTGGCTGTGGCTGATCCCAGCTGTCATAAAGGGCCTAAGCTTCTGAGCGGGGACCAGTGGGCTCACCTATGAATGACTAACAAACAGTGGGGGCCCGAACTGTCAGAATTTGCGGAATAGACTGCAAAATTGGTGCGTTGCTGAGAATAGTGAGGAAAACAAATGCCAAACAAAGAGTCTGTAGCGACATGCAAATGGGTGCACATACAACGGCTCTGACACTGCACTTCTTGGGCGAAGTCTTGAGACCGACATCTCTCTTGGTACACCTATCCTTTATCATTCCGGGCAAGACAGCCCTTGGACCCAATCTCGGGTTGCTGGTAGCGGAAGAATGCCCGCCTGAGTCAATCTTCAAATGCACCTGCACCAAAACCAGCCCAACTTGCCTCGACTAGCAAACATCAGGCTGATCCTCTCTCAATGACCAATTCTGTGGTCATTATGTTCCTTGAACATACGGCCTGGGCCGCCTGTTCCCCGCTGGGCAGTTCAGCCAAGCAACGCTTGCCGTGGGCCTGGCGGTCTGTGCACCCCCATCATTCCATTCTCCCTTTCCGCCATGCTTCCATCCCAGCAAGGCATTCGCGATGCTTTTGGTCGGCCCGCATCCCCTGCATTCCCCCGCCCACCCACTGCTTAGCACGAAACTGGAGGCGCGCCTTTGCACTCTTCACAAAGTCCTTCAGCACCACGTATCGGCAGTTCCAGCCTAGAGAGCTGCATGTCCCAAATGGCAAGCCGCGACTCCCAACCCCCAGGGCCAAAACCCGAGACATACTTGCCCAACTCCAAAACCATGATGGCCTTATCCGCAATGAGGAATGATGAGCTTTGTCACGCTTGTTTTGCTGACAATCATGCGCATCCAAAAAAGCTGTCCCACACAAGCACGCAGGAACACATGCACGCACGCAAACGTGTGCACATGCATGTGCCCACACATCCACACTCCTATGCTCACACCTACGGGCAAACACACAGCCGCGCACACACACACACACACACTCACACACTCACACACTCACACACTCACACACACACTCACTCACTCACTCACTCACTCACTCACTCACTCACTCACTCACTCACTCACTCACTCACTCACTCACTCACTCACTCACTCACTCACTCACTCAGGACACCCGCACGGACACAAACACACAAACAAAACACTAATACAACAAGACAGAAAGAAAGAGAGAGAGAGAGAGAGAGAGAAAGAAAAAACGAAAGAAAGAAAGAAAAAACGAAAGAAAGAAAGAAAGAAAGAAAGAAAGAAAGAAAGAAAGAAAGAAAGAAGCAAACCCTGCTTTATTGATGGGCATTGGTCTTGAGCCAAACGGGCATTGCCGTTCGACATGTATTCATGCAATCAACGGGGCCTCCAACATCACATGCACGCACACATCCCCTCTGCCCTGGGGGGGGGGGGGGACCTTCCCATGTGGCTAGCCACCACTCCACCCCCCACCCCCCCTTCCTGTTGTACATTGTTGTACCTGCCATACACGAAAAAGGAGGGTTGAATGTCCAAAATTTGAGATGAAGGGATGCAAACAGCCAAAATGAAACGAATTCCTTCCATTCCAGCAAATGCAAACAAAGGCATAAACTACTGGTTCTTCACAAGAGTGCAAGCAACCAAGAGCAAGTGCAAAGCAACGCAATGCAAAGATTTCAGAATGTTCTCTCTGGTTTCTGTATTGAACGCGGCCTCGTAAACAGAGGTAAGCATTGAATAGCATTGACTAAAGTACAAAGAACCTTGCTCCCTTCTGCAATGTCTTCTAAAAAGCTACCGCCCCTTGCGAATTGAATCAATCAGCCTCCGTAAACACCAAGTTAAAACAAACTGTTTCAGAGTTTCTTAACATTGTGTTACGGAGTTTCGTAACATTGTGTTTCGGAGCTTTGGAACGCCGAATTTCCTTGTTCTGAGGTTGATTGTCCTCAAAAACGAGAAATCTGATTTAAAAAACACTGTGCAGCAACATTGTGGAACATCCCCGCATTCTGTACATCAAGCAGTGATGCTTGAGCTGAACATCACATTAAGGAACATCCACTACCACCCTTCTGGGGTACCTCTTTGGGGGTCAAGGGGTCGTGATTATTCAACTCCCCCGTCCCCGTGCTCACTAAGAGACTTGTATTTTACAGTCGCGCTTGAGCTGCGACCCATGTGATGCAAGGTCCTTTACCAGACCATAAAGAGTGCTTACCTATGATTTTGCACTTTTGTTACTGCTTGGTCATCTCAGGCCGGACATCTTTCAACTTTTCGGGCAAATTAGTTCTGATGCCCAAAAGCTTTAGAGTGTGGTCCCACTTCAAGGGCTGCAGTGCTTTTGTAAAGATGCCGGCTGCCTGGAGATCGGTAGCTACATACTTGATTACTACGCCCGTGCCGGGTTCAAGTTGCTCAGCAAGTGCGGACAAGTTCACTTTATGAGTGCGCTGTATGTGCCGCATTTTTGGGAAGTAACCTTTCTTGGCAACGAGGATAGTGGCTTGGTTATCTTCGTGTAGCACCAGCTCAGCCGGGCGTCCAAGCAAACGTTCCCACAAGGTCAAAGAGGGAAGGCCTTCTTGATATAAGGAGAATGTGAGCGAAACGACCTCGGCTTTGGTGGTGGACCTCGACACTGATGTCTGTCGTTTGCTCAACCATGCTAACGGGAAATTGGTGTTCGGTCCTTTAAGAACCAAGAAGCCACCAGACGTGTGACTTCGCATCCCTTTCTCCAGCATAGTCGGCATCTGCATACAGAGCGAGGCGATTGTCCTTTATGACTCCTACCAACCGGTAGTGCGTAGTCGAGTGGATGTACGCGATAAGACGGGCGAGTTGCCTATCGTGGTTGCGAGACCACTTCTGCACGGCGGTTGCTAAGTCACCTATGGGCTTGATGATGTCAGGACGCGCTACTCGTCCCAGCCATAAGGCCTTCATGAGGAGTTTGCACGCGTTCGGGGCTAGCTCACCAGCTGACTGATCATCTTCAGGAGGAAGTGACCCGTCTGGGCAGAACGGAGTAGTTACCTTCCGGAGCTTCTCGGCTGAGTGCCGGTTATAGAACAAAACAGTTCTACGGTTTGACGGGCAGAGTCGTTCATGTCAAAGGCAACGGCACCCTTTAATGCGCTTACAGCTGCGTTCAGATCATGTTCTTGAGGCTCTGCGGGAGCGTCTATAAAGACATGATTACGCCCGAGCACCCGAAAGATCGGCTCGGGAGGCTCTACATTTATCATGTTTGTAAGCTTTTCCCAAAAGGCTTCGTGTGCATCTGCGGGACCTGAGAGGGTTAAGTCATCGACGTAAGTCGAGAGCATAAGGCCTACCCCTTTAAAGAAAAAGTTTCCAGGAAACTCTGGGATTTTCTTCCCCTCCCAGCTGCTTGAGCAGCTTCTTGAGGTGTGCCTCCCACAGACCTCCTGCGTCAGGGTGACCATATAGGGCACGAATCAACAAGACCACGGGTTTCACGAACTTGGAACCCCATTCCTTTGGCCGCAGCTCAGGCGGGAGTTCAATCCACGTCTGGAACTGCGAGCTAAGGAACGCCTGGACATAGGCTTTTACCGCGTCAGCGCTAGTGACCGTGTCTCCTGAAATACACCCATATGCCAGGCAGGCGTTTAGGCCTTGTACCGAGGTGGGGTTTGCCCCCCATTTCTTGGTACACCGCGGGTGCACCGGCTTCATCTTTTGCACAGTCTCCCCTGAACACGATGCGCCCCTTTACCTGTTGGAGGTGCTTCGCAAGCTCATAGAACTTGATGCTGGCAATCGTCATGAGCTGACCAAAGTGCACCTTGATCCCAGATTGTCGCGCTTGAGCTGCGACCTCAGCCTTCTCCCGGACAGTTGAACTATCCCATACTCCGACGTCTTGGAGTCCGGTCGCCTCCTGCTTGATCGCCTCTAGTGCTTCAGGAGATGCAAGCGTCTCGGCGCGGGACAGGAGTTTGGTGACCATTGCATGCGCTTCTTTGGCGGGCATGCCGACAGCACGAGCAAGTAGACCTTGGACATCAAGGAGTTCCTCAACAATCTCTTTTGGTTTAGAGCCTGACTCAATCAGGAGGGTGAAGTCATCTTCTCCGGATTCGTGCTTTGGGGATTGCTCCTTAACACGATGCTCCGTCTGCTGAGTGACTGGAACAACAGGCATTGCTTGAACCGGAGTCCTACACACTTTGGGATACAACGCTTTGGCGATCAAACCACACATTTGCTCAGGGTAGAATGCAGTGCGGGAGGTTCGGCTGCCTGCCGCTGGAGTATGTTTTTTCGGACTTTGAGTGCGGACACTGGCGATCAGCGAATGCTTCGGCAAGGGCCTTTGATGTAGTTTTGATGCGCCAAGTCTTGATGGGTGAACCATTTTCATCCGTCAAACCAACAGCACAGCCATGAAACGAAACACCATGGAACACATCCTTGTGGCGTTCGAAAAACTCGGCAACATCTGGCCTCTGCCAGCCTTCGCAGTCACGCGGCCACTCAAAAGTGACTGATCCACCGGCCTTCAAAACATGCTCGGCGTGCAATGCAAACTTTGAAAACATCACTTTGGATTGCTTGACTGTTTCCCCTAACTTTTTCTTGAACGGCTTACCTAGCCTGTGGAGGTTCAGCCTCTGCCAAGGTGATCCTGAGACGCATGGAATGGCTGCCCACAAGTTAGGTCGGACGCACTGCGAGAGTTGATACGCGAGCTGCTCATCCGCAACCGCTGGCTCTAAGTCAATGTACTCCTTTGCCAATCGGGCATGTGGTATGTTGACATCCTTGAACACATTACCCATTGAGGAATTAGGTGAACAAGCAAATTCAAACATCGGGCCAACAGCATCACGCGCTAGGCGCTTGCGAGCACGCTTGTTGCCAACGGTAAACGGAGGGCGTTCATCACCCCCCTGAAGCTGGCAAGGGTTACCGAAAACGGATGGCTTCTCTTTCGTGGTCTCAGCAAGTGTTGTGCTGGATGTGGTTGACACGGCGACGGCTGCTCCTGAGCTGACTGGGATGTTACCCTCGTGAGGACTGAGCCCCCCTGCTGCGCGTAAAGCTGCAGCCGAATGCTCGGAATCACTATATAACCTAAAAATGGTTATGCCAGTCCAGAACCCAGGGAGTTCTCGATGTGCTGAGAATCTGCCTGCCCAACCATCACTGATACCTTCCTTGCTACCATCTTGCTGGGACACAACGCGAGTGGTCCTACCGGGTGTGATTCTGCACACTGACACGGGACAATCACCGACATCCTTGGGAGTGAAAAGCTTAATCCTAGGCTGATGATGCACGCGGATTAACACGTTACCACTAGGCTTATAAACCCATTCATCCTTCTTGGTTGATGCGGGGACAGCGTCGGCATGCGGAACACTGGGCCGAGAAGAGGCGGGCTCTCCAAGCAAGGCACGGACGATATCGGGGTCTCCCTCCTCAGGTGCCTCGATCTCTGGGGCTTCTGGGGGTTCTAGGGACGACGCCTTTGCAGCGCGTATAGCAGCTGCCTCATCTTCACCCTTGCTTGGTTTGGTGGCCTCCTCACTTGCGGCCTTTTTGGCCTTTGCTTCTTCCTTTTCACTTTCAACTAGCTCTGCAAACCTTTTGCGGCATTCATCAGTGTGATGCCTAGAACTAGCATGGCCGGTGCAGGCCTTGCATCCAGGAGTCTCCTTGAACTTTATAAT